CCCCCCCCCCCCCGCCCATCTTTGCAGATCTACTGGAAGAGTGTTCAGAAACTAAGCTTTGCATTTGTCAAGACTTCATTCTGTCGGGGGTTTTAAGAAGTAATGTATGTAATGTAAAGTGTATGTGAACCATTGTGGTTGACGCTTCCCCATGCCTCAGTGAGTTGACGGTGGCCGAATGTAACGTGCAGAAAATAATTGACTGTATATTCAGAATAATAGCAATCAGGCCTTGGATGTTCTTCAAGTCTTTTCAGGCAGTGATTTTTTTTTTTTAATTGCTGTAATTTTCTAAACTTATTTTACTAATACTGTTGAATATGAAAAAAAACCACGAAAAAAATTTTTGTCTGCTGCTATTTATTAACATTTTATTATCTGTATCTTTTAGCTCAGGAAATGACTTCACCTATTCGTTCCGTGAACTGATCTTTAACAGGGTCGCTTGGCTAATGGGGCTGTTTAAACAGATACGCTGGGAGAAAAATTATGACGTATTTTGACACCTTGCTTTTTCAGATACAGTCGCTAAAGCCTTATGGCCGGCCGGAACGGGCTTCTACCGATCGCGATTGCGTAGCCCGCCTGGTTACAACATTGCACAGAGACTCACGACTGAGACTGCGGGGAAGGGGAAGGGGAAGGTCACAGGACGGGGGAGGTGGATACATTTTTTTAATTTATTTTGAGGGCTTAAACCAAATTGTCTCGGAATTTACGGCTGTGTTTCCGTAGCTTTCAGCGCAGAGAAGGAAGTAGAGTGAGGCCGAGTCCCGTTGTTTACTTGAGTTAGGCCACAGCACGTATTAGAAAGATAGATGAGGTCATTTGCACAGAGGTACAGCACTGGGACGCTACGCTGTGTTCGTGTCTCCGTTTTGCATTGTAAAAACCACAGTAAAAGGCAAGGCGAAATTTCCTATCGAAGCAAGTTCTAGCATTTTCGTTGAGCTCCTTGGTAGTCGCACACTGTTCACGTCTACACCGTGTTTAATAGTACGATTTGTCAGGGGAGGGACTGTGGGGTGATGGGTCTCAATTTCCTTTTTACTCTTAGTACAGCCGCGTCTGCGTAACATGTTTGGAAGCTCACCCGAAACGCAGCAGACTTTAAAAGCACAGGGTTGGGGTTGGGGGGGGGGGGGAAATGCACGTATAGCGAGAGGAGGGACCCAGAGAGAAAGCATTGTGAGGTTGTTGGTCGACTGACTGAAACGAGGGGTGGGTTTACGTTGTAAATGGCAGCCGATTGCTAACTATGTACATGTTTGTTGGGATGGCTGTCCCATATTTTGTATATTGGAATAAAAATTTCCACAGGTCATCGTAACCGAAAGTAAAAATGCTAAATTCAGTCTCACTGCTAAGTCGTACGGCTCCTGTCTCAGAATCTTCACCTGTAGACGATTGCTCAAGACGGGGGCCGTGAGACTTCAGGAAAAGGGAAAAAAGGAAATGTGTGATGTATGGATCTTGTTGCCTCTACCGATCGGTATCGGGCTTTTTCTTTTCCGTGGTGGCAGTAGAAAGACCTCACTTCCGTAACATACTACTCTTGATACTTTCTTTAAGGATACTTTTCATTAAAGATTCTCTCATGAGGTATTAAACTGGGAGCCGGGAGGCTAAGGCGCTCAGGTCCTGGCTCCTCAGTGAATTTAACTGTGTGACCTTGGGCAAGTCACTTAACCTCTCTGTGCTTCAGTCTCCCTGTCTTGTAAAATGGGAGTAATACCTACCTCACAGGGTTGTTGTGGGGATTAATTAGATATAATGTCTGTAAAGCATCTAAGGTTCTTGAAGAAGGCGCTATATAAATACAAAATAATATCTATTAAAGTTGGTTTATTTGTGCTTGCGGGTTTTTAAGTGTGTTTTTTTTCCCTAAAACGTCTTTGAGAATTGGCAGACCCTTGAACAAACATGGGTTTGAATTGCGTGGGTCCTACTTGTTAAGCGGATTTTGTTCCTTAGACACGGTATCGTAGTACGGTGAACACATTTTCCCTTAGGAGTTTCTGAACACTTTATTTAGCTTTATTGTAAGAACGCAGGTAACACGTATCCAAAATGTGTGTTAACCGCCTGTTTATGTCATCGGTAAGGCTTCAGGCCAACGGTAGGCTATTAGGGGGGCGCCCAGGTGGCTCAGTCACTTAAGCGCCTGACTCTCGATTTCAGCTCCGGTCACGATCTCACGGTTTGGGAGTACGAGCCCCGCATCAGGCTGTTCACTGACCGTGTGGAGCCTGCTTGGGATTCTCTCTCTCCCTCTCTCTCTCTCTCTCTCTCTCTCTCTGCACCTCCCCACTTGCGTGGTCTCTCTCGCTCTCTCAAGATTTAAAAAAAAAAAAGTAGGCTATTAATAGTTAAGTTTGGGGGGAGTTGAAAGTTCAACCTGGATTTTTTTGGCTGCACAAACACGGGGCCCCTGACCCCTGTGGTGGTCCAGCTTCAGCTGTATACACTTGGGGAACTGCCTTTACTGCTATTGCTGCAGACTCGCTGCTTTGGTTACCCAAAGAGATTTTCCGAGAACAGCGTTCCGTGTGTGTAAACCGGCACCTGTAATCCCGTGCCTGCATCGGTCTTTACGTAGTAGCCTTGCCTTTCCAAAAATTCCGAGTTTAAAAATGCAAATTTAGAATCCTAGAATCTTACTGTTTTCAGCGCTCCCTTAGCCCTTGCGGTGTAGTCCTCGCTCCTGTAAAATCGGTCACTTGAGAATATTCACCTGTGCTTGAGTACTTGAAATCCCATTCCATTGTTCAGTAACTTAAATTTCCATACCTTGCCTTTATTTATATTTAATCTGCTATATTTAATCCACCGCTCTTCATTCTTGGGAGACCTGTCCTGGTAACACTCTGATTTATTCATCTCTCTGGAACAGTGTTCTTAGAATAAGCTTCGTAACAGGTGAACTAGACCGCCAGTGGGGACCTACGATTGCTTGCTTGCTTTCTATCTGTCTATCTAGTTTGCATTTATTTATTTTTGAGAGACAGAGCACAAGCAAGGAAGGGGCAGAGATTGGGAGACACGGGATCCGAAGCAGGCTCCAGGCTCCGAGCCGTCAGCACAGAGCCCGACGCGGGGCTCGAACCCACGAACCGTGAGATCATGAGCCAAAGTCGGACGCTCAACCGACTGAGCCACCCAGGCGCCCCTGCATTCTCTTTTTTAGATATCTGTATCACATGCTTCATACTGAACTTTTAGTAAGTGAAATTCGCTGTATTCAAGACAGCTTCTCATGAACTGTTGAAAAGCCAAGACTTTCCCCTCCCTTTTTTTCAAGTGTCCTTGTCACCCAGTATGTGTTCATGTTCGTCTGAAGCTTTTTACTTTTTGTCATTTATGTTTTACTATGATAACATAGAATTTCCAGAGCTGCTAAAATAACCCATCACTTGTTAGTTGATGGCATGATAGGCCCTACACTCAGCATTTTACTTTTTCTTAATGTTAAGAAGAAACTAAAACTCTCCAGAGGTTGAGTGATTGTCCCAGAGTCCGTCAGCCGGAAAACAGCAGATCCAGATTTCAAATAGGTGTACCTTCATTGCCAAGCTCTCCTCTGCGGTTTCATAATCAAAGGGTTCTCTTTTATGGCAGAAGATGCACATAGCCTGGAGTTTCCTGCTTCTGCCATTTTTAAGTGGGCAGCTAAGTGACGTTAAGCACCATCCATGTTGTGCAGCCATCACTGCTCTCCATCGCTTGGATTTTTCATCTTCCCAAACA